ATAATCATATTTTCAGTTATCCGGGTAATCGAGTATTTATTTTTTTCATTGCCCGGGTATCCGGGTAAAGGTAAAAAAATTTACCCACACCATGTTGTGTCAATTAAATTTAAAATAAAATGCAACAGTTTTAGTTTTAAATCTATTTTTTATTTAAAAAATAATACTTTAAAAATACAAGTTTGTCAACCGTTTCCATTTTCAACTGATTTGGGGTTTTTGTGACAAAAGCTGAAGCTACCGAAAACACTTACTGTTGCTGTTGGTTGTATTGTCAATAATGCTGTAAAAAGTTTTCCAATAGAGTCACCTCGTTTTGAACAATCTTTCTCCCACAACTTCATTTCTTTTTCCAATGTGGATTTTCTCTCATTATTTTCTTTCGGAACAGTCATAATTCAATTGTTTTTTAGAGTTCATCATAATTTGAAACCAAACCATTATTTGAAACTATTTCTTCATTTTCAATTGTTAACTCTGTATCCATCTGTGTGTTTGCAGGATCTTCATTGAACAGCCTTTTGAAGGTTTCTTTAGCCAATAAATGAATAGAACTTTTTTTTAAATAAATAAAATGGCAGTTAATATCTGGTTAGGATAGTTTCGAGATTGTAAAAAACATAAGAGTAATAATACATCCTCATTTCGTCTTTCTTCAATTCTTTTCTTCAAAGCAGTGAACATTTCCATGGCTAACTGCGTAGTTGTTTCTTTTAGTTTGTTTAGCAAAAAAATGCATACTCCTTCAGCTTTTAAAAGATTATTATCATCTTTACTGAGCTCTTTAACAGCAAGCTCAACCGGTTGTAAAACATGTGATATTTTTTCTAAAACTTTGATATTTTTTTCTGAACATTTTTGCTGACCTAATTCCATTAGAGCCTTTTGTATACAATTGTATATTTTTATGAAACGATTTACCATTGGTATTATTGAGTTCCATCTTGTTTTGCAATCGAGTAGCAATCGTAACTTTTTGCCTTCTTGATCTATTATATGCTTTTCAAGAACACTGCTTTGAACTGAAGAATATTTGAAAAATTTAATAATTTTTCGTGTTTCATCAAGAACTTTGCCAATGTCTTCACGAAAGATTGGTAATTGTCTAACTGAATCATTTTGGAAATTTAAGTTACCATCAAAAGCAAATGCATCAGCTACCTCATCATTTTGTTCGGTAGTTTCAACACAATCATCATCTGCTAAATTTTCATCATATTCTAAATTCTCATCATCTTGGAAATTTGTATCAATTACCGCATCATCATTCGTAATTAAACTCCCACTTTTTTTATAAAATACATCAAGTACAGCAAGATGTATAGCATGGTTGTAGCATAACTGAGAAAATGGTAAAATATTTTTCCCATATTTTACCATGACTGATGCTCCATCATGTGTGGATCCGACGATATCATTATCCAGACCTTGCGATGAATAAGAACTGCGCGACGCATAAGCACGACGTGATTTTTGACGTCATTAAATTCTTTTTAACTGCACCAATTTACTTAATTACCGCAAAACTACTTTAAATCGTTTTTGTAGAAATGTTATTATTTAAAAATGTTTTGGAATGTTTCGTTTTTTAAAATGTAAAAACATTTGTTTATTTTCTCGACGTTTGTCACATTTTGTCCATACTAAACGAATAAAAAACATTATAACTTAAATTTAAAAAAGATTATAAAATATGCTAATATTTGATTTTTTTTTTTCTTAAATATGTAATTTAAAGTTTTTCAAATAATTATTTTTTCTTTTTAAAAAGTCAGCGAGTAATAAACTGGAAATTTTAATGTTGTACGATTAAAAACTGTGCAATAGCTAATATTTTTACAAGCGATTTTAATATAATATTTATTTATTTATTTTTATTTATTTTCAAAAAGCGGTTGATAAGCACAATCACTCGTATTAATAAAAAACTTAAACGAACGTTTTGAATAATTTTTAATGTTAACAAGGAATTTTATTTCTAGTAAAATAAAATAAAATGTTAGAATAAAAATCTAATAGGTATAAAAGAAATATTTCAGCGAAAAAATTATTCTTAAAAATTATTATTAAAAATTATTCGAAAAACTATTGATGTTCTATTTTTCAGCAGCTCTTCTTGAGCACGCTTCGTTGAGTTTCGGTAACTTTTAACATAAAAGCGATCGTTATTATTTAAGTAATTTTTTTGACTTAAAAAAAATAAAATAACTGTACTTTTTCATTGAATCAAGTAGAATACGTTTTAATATTAATCCTTTTTTATTTTTTTATTTGCCCTCACCAATTTTTAAAATGTTTCCTCGAAATTACTCTTAAATACTTTAAATACGTCTAACAGTTAATAAATATTTTTAAATCTATGGAATAATTTTAAAACCTAACAAACCCCCGTAAAACTAAAAGAAAGTATTTTTGTTCAATTTTATCGACAACTTTGCTATTGCTGAATAATTTTAATTAAATGTTAGCTTAAACGATTTAAACTTTTTTTTTAATTTTTGAATTTTTTCTACTTGTAAATAATGAGCATATTTAATTTTTTTAAATTCAAACTTTTATTTCAACTGCGTGCGGTTTTTAAAATACTTTATTAAATGTTAAAATAATCGTAAATTACTTCATTAAAATTCCGCTCAAAAATATCTTTATATATACTCAAACAAAAAATTTTTTGCTCGACGCAAATAGCCCTAGCTACACGCAAAATCGCTCTTGGACGACGTAAAATTCACATCGCCCGACGCTTTATCGCAAGGCCTGATTATCCATTTTAATTCCATAATCTTTAAGTTTTGCTTTTACCAAATCGATAGTGGCATTTGAATCACAAGAACCTATTATTGCAGATAGACCCAAGACTACAGGTGGCTTTGTTGCTGAATGAAGAGTGATATTCATGAACCTTCTAACGTTTATATCACTCCATTCATCGACAGTAATACTGAATCTCTCTCCAGATTTTTTTTGCTCTAATAATGACGCCATTAATTCTTCTTTTTTTTCTTTATAAAAATCCATTATATATTTCATTACCGTTGTTTCACTTTTTGGCATTTTATAATTACGGCTACGAAACCCCTAATGGCTTCAGATGAAGTAATTCCTTTGATGCTAAATCCATCTTTTGTCACACATTTCGCCAATATTTCATTCAATGATTCTTGACTTATGAAATTTATTATTCCATTTCCAACTGATTTTGTGTTTTTCGAAAAAGACGCATCAGTTTCATTTGCGTCGCCCAAATTTCTTTTTTGTAAAGGTATGCTATGTAATTTTAAATGATTAATCATTCCAGTAGTATTAGATCCCGGACGTTGAATTATAGATTTGCATATGTTACAAACTGACTCTGATTTCTCTTTTTTTGTAAAATATTTCCATACCTCTGATTTTTTTGAAGACATTTCTGGGTATATGTAAATAAATCACTAAAATAAAAAATCACAACATAAAAATTGAAAATTTAAATTTATACGTATTTAAATATGCATTTATTACTTGAAATTTAGTACATTTTACTCAAAACACTTCACTTACCAAAGGCAGCTATATATATTAGAAAATTAAGTATTTATTTTATTTATTTCACAAATTTTTTTTTAAATATTTCACTTTCTTGCAAATTTTACGTCATACAATTTCAAATTACAAATGTTATTTATTTTATGTAACTTAGTTAAAAAAAACTTTTGAAACTTAGTTAAAAATCAACGGTTGCTAAGCAACTTTATTATAGAAGTAAAAGAAGAAAAAACGGTAGAATACCGATACTCGATTGATTAATAGTTAAATGAATGTGCAATATTTACATTTTTTTTGTTTAAATATTATACTAGATACTCGAAAAAAATATTCAGAGTAGTCGACTACTCGGAACTTGCTTATAAAGTATCAATTACTTGGGTACTCGGGTAATCGATAATTGTAATTGGATTCCCTAATATATATATAAGCTAAACGTGCAAGTGGTTATATATATATATATATATATATATATATATATATATATATATATATATATATATATATATATATATATATATATATATATATATATATATATACATAAATGAATAAAATTACTATTGCCTTATTATTTTTCATTAAATTTCAAATTTTCAGTAATCAAAATAAATCAAATCAAATATATTCTGAATAAAGTTGATACATCAAGGTTATTTACAAATAGTAATAAGTAGTAATATGAAATAAAGACCTGTAAAATTTAATACTAATAAAATGATGCTAATATTATTTGCATCATTTTATTATTATTGAAGTAATCGATAATTGTAATTGGATTCCCTAATATATATAAGCTAAACGTGCAAGTGGTTATATATATATATATATATATATATATATATATATATATATATATATATATATATATATATATAAATACATTTTATATATATATAAATACATTTTATATATATATAAATACATTTTATATATATATATATATATATATATATATATATATATATATATATATATATATATATATATATATATATATATATATAAAAGCTAAATATTAAAAATATTAAATCATTAAAAGTTAAAAAAAATTTAAAATCAAATTTTAAAGTTTTTTTATTTTCTAGGTTTTTTTTTTTGTTTTTTTAATGACTTTTAATACTTTTGAAATATGAATAAATTTTGCAGCCAATACAATGCATGCAATAGAATATAAGTAAAGCATGAACTATTTTCCTATTGTTTGTGTAAGTAAATGTAATAAATCGTTGGGTATTGATTACATTAACTGCGAACTTCTTTCAAAATCTTTGAGACTATGTTAGTTACTTTTGTTACTTTATTTAATTTTAACTTCATTTTTTTATTATTTATTAGAATTATTTAGTTCAAGAATGTTTTCAGTTAAATTATTAACTTTTTGTTTAGAATGCTTTTAGATTTTTTTAATTGATTGATAGTAATTTTTACATGAATTTTTTTTTTTTTATAATAAATTTAATTTGTTTTTATAGAATATGATGCTCTAGCAAAAATTATAGAGAAACATCCTGACAGGAAGCAGATAGGCTGGTTTGTTATTTTATAGTTTGTTTAAAAAAGCATTCTGAAGTTTTATATACTTTCTGCTATTGTATTTAGCAATTGATCCAAACACTGGCTTAGACTAAATTTGTTACTTTTTCTAGTTTTAGGTCTTAAAAATGTATATTATGAAATATTCTAGTTGTAAAATTTGTTTTTTTAAATAGTTATTATAATTAAAAATATTTTCTTTATCGAAAAAAAAAAATTTCAAAAGTTGTTGTATTAAGCTAGTACTTGTTTTGTCTTAAATGCTGAGCATCTGAGCTCTTAAATGCTGAGCATTCTTCTAAAATATTTTGGAACTACTAGAATTTCTGACCTTCAAAGAATTGTCCAGAAGATCCTGGGAGGATCTTCTGGACAATTCTAAGAAGGTCCTACTTGTCGTTTACAATCATGCTCACTGTGCACCTCTAAAAAGACTGTGTATAATAAACACCAGTGTATAATAAATAAAACAAAAAGATTTGAAATAAATAAATAAAAATAATTAAAACAAAAAACTTTTTGTCAATAATAATACCTTGTCAATAATTTTACCTAATATTTGTGAATTTTGAAAGTTTTATAAAAGCTAGTTCCAATTAAATTTTGTGATATAGTTTTTCTAATGAACTGTGACACCTTTATGTTTACTTATCACTTATATATAATTCTTTAAGAAACTTATATTGTATTCTGATTTTATATTTTTTGACCATCTGTTTTCTGTTATAAATTATGTTACATATGTTGTAATAGAAAACAGATGGGCATCGGTAAACATGTTTGTTGACGTTCAATCCTAATAATTAAATAATAATTTTAGATTTTGATAATGGAAATATTCCTAGTTGCTGGCTATGTTGACAAATTTAACATGTTTATATCTGTAAGCATACCCACAATAGTGTCGTTGAACCTCTAACTTTTTGTATGCTGTGACAAACTAACTTTGGTATGCAATAATTCTATGTGTTTACCAATGGTATTGCTATCATAAACTGATGAAAAATTTAACTAGTTATCTTATATTATTGATATCAATAATATTAGATGGCTTAAAAAATTCTTTATCAGTTTATGGCAGCAGTATGATTGGTACCCCTATATGGGGTAACATTGACAGTAGTATGTTTTATACTGTAGATGTTAAAATTACAGAATTGTCATACTATTAAGCTCTACATCACATTAATGACTCAATATTTGATTATGACAAAATCCCGTAGCGCGGGATTTTTTAGTTATAAATTTTTTAGTGTATGGTTTAATTTCAGAAACAAGATAATTTTTTACATCTTCATGTTTTGATGTTTTATTCTTACCAATATTATGCAACATTGCTAGGTGCCGATTTTAACTTTTTGTAAGTGTCGATTTTTAAATCTGTTGACATTTGATGTATTAGTACATTTTTTTTTTTTTTTTTTTAGAATTGCTCTTTTAATTAAGGGTTTGTTATGTTTGATTCCATTTCATGTAATAGTGAAAGATTCATCAGATGTAAGACATTTCGCCAACTTTTGCTTTATTCTTGGGCCATGGGGTGACTTGAGCATTCCTGTCAATGTTACTCCAAAACTGAAATATGCGTTAAAAAAATACTGCAAAAAAATCTTAAATGCTTAGTATTTAAAAAACAACATCATAAAAACACTTGTAAAATGATTTTTTAGTATGACTTTCCTTTTCTTTAGTTTTTCAGCAACAAAAAACTTGAAATTAGTTTAATTTATGCCCTATGTTATTAGATAAAAATAGTTATTTGTTTATTTAACATCTGGCTACAACATCCGTTAAAATAATTTAAACAATAATCAACAAATGACTGGTAAAAACATTTAATCTAATACATGTCAATGTTACCTACATGTCAAAGTACCACATGTCGAAACCCCTGTGTTGTCTTATTTTATTAAAAAAAAAGTTTATTCACTTTTAATGTTATTTTATTAAATAAATTTAATTTATTTGTCGAAAAAAATTTCTGATTCTTTTGCAACAAAAACATGTACATTTAAAAAAAATTCTTACTTTAACGAAAACAAAAAACTTTTTTTTTTTAAAAAAAAAACATCAAAGGAGTTTTAATGAAAAAAACCTGAAAATATTGCAAAACTTCCATTTCTATTTTCAAAAAATAAGTATATCATAAAAAATTATTATTTATAATATTTATTATTATATAATATTTATTATCATAACTATTTATTATATAATATTTATTATGATATAACTAATTATTAGTTGAGTAAAAATATTGTTTTAGTGAGAATGCAAAGCTTGAAGAAGACATTTACAAATTAAAGGAGAGTAAATCATTACTTATTGAAAAGGTTTTATTTCTTATATGATTTTTTTATTTTTTAAGTTTTGTGTAGGCAATCTAATAAATCAAAAATTGAACTAAAAAAGGTTTTAATATAAGATTAAAAAAAAACACCCAGATATATATGTATGTGTGTGTGTCTGTAAATGTTTTTTGAATGCTACATTAAATTTTTGACTCAAACTTACTAACTATTTTTTTTTTTATAATAAATGAAGCAGTACCAAAAACAAAGTTGTTAGAGAACATTGTCCACTAGTGGCTTCATTCACTAGATATATGTATACACACATATATATATATATATATATATATATATATATATATATATATATATATATATATATATATATATATATATATATATATATATATGTATACATACATACATACATACATACATACATACATACATACATACATACATACATACATACATACATACATACATACATACATACATACATGCATGCATACATACATACATACATACATACATACATACTAGTATACATTAAAATAACCCATGTCCTATCATGTTTATATTGAAGAATACAAAAACAATTCTTGTAGTGTAAGTCTAATCTAAACCAATAAAAGAGAACTACATCAGGCTCCTCTATGTTGACCCTGGTTAGCCGCACAAAGTAGCTGGTCAAAAAAGTTATGATCCAAGTTCTTTAAGGAAATATACAGAAGGGGAATGAAATGCTTCCTGTGAAAGAGCTTTTCAGTGTTTTGTTACTCTATCTGTAAAAAAAATTTCTTATTTAATGCAACCTTTGACTAGTTGAGGTAAAAGTTGTTGATTGGGTAGATGGAAGTTGTAATTTGTTGTAATTTGTTGTTGAGTTTAGTAGAGTTTGAAAGAAATGAAGGTTGACTTCATCAATTTGATGAGTAAATTTTAACTGTTAGATTTATAGATTGGTCACCTTTTTTCCTGCAATTAGATCACCTCTTTTCCTGCAATTCTCAAGTGATATTAGTTTCAACCTTTGCAATCTTTTTATATTTTAGATGTTTTATCTTACATGTTGTTTTTGTTACACTTCTTTGGACTTTCTCTATCATCCAAATATTTTTTTTTTTAGTTGAGGAGACCAAACCTGTACTGCAAAATCTAAATGTGGACAAATGTATGCAAGGTACATTGTTTTCCATAAAACTAGTCTGTGGCTACGCAAAGCTTTTTTGAGACGAATAAGCATTTGGTTTACAATTGAGACTGCTGTTTCGACCTGAGTTTTGACCTTCAAGTCTTTGGAAATAATCCCAAGGTCTTGTTTAACTATCGTTTCTTTCAATGTACAATGAGTTCCATCTAAATGTGTCATTGTGTATGACTGTGCTGACTTGTTAATGTGTCCAACATGCAAAACTCTGCATTTATTGGTGTTAGCCATTTGTGCGACCATTTAACTATTTTATCTATGTCAGCTTAAAGAAGAGCTTATCCACCAATCACTCAGATAATTTTACCATTGTTCAGATGATTTTACCATCGTTCGTGTAACAAGCGCCTGTGTGGGATTTTTTCAAATGCTTCAACAAAGTCTGTATAAATAACATCTACGGGAAATCCTAGGTGCATGCCTTGTGTTAATCTATCTAATAATGCTCTCTGTAGCCGACCAGTTAACCATTTTTCAATCCATTTTAGCAGGGTTTTACTAATACCATAAGCTTGCAGTTCGTGTAACAAGCGTCTGTGTGGGTCTTTGTCAAATGCTTCAGCAAAGTCTATATAAATAACTAAGTAAAATCCTAGGTGCATGCTTTGTGTTAGTATGTCATATGCTTCCAGTAGATTTATGTTGCACCCTCACTAGGAACAAAACCATGTTGAGCTTTAGATTTAAGATTTTGTGTTGTGTAAAATTTTGTTATACGATCATATATGAAACTTTCCATGACTTTGCAGACTTCTGTGATATCAGTCTGTAATTTGGTTGTTGAAGTTTACTCCCTTTTTTAAAAATTGGTGTAACATTAGATTTTTTTCACAAATCTGGAACATCACCAATGGATATAGATTTCTTGTAGATTAGTATGATTTCAAAAGATGTTGCACTTTTTAAATACGTGTGAATGTCTTTATTTTCAGGTAAACTTTTAAGGTTTTTTTTTTCTACTTCATGAGTGCAGTTTTCATCAAGCTGACATATGGCTTTCGTGTGTAGATCAAAAAGTGACATAGAGCCTTCTTGTTCAACTGCAGACACTGTTTGGAAATAATTATTTAATATTGCAAAAGTTTTGTCTTTTTTTGTAGTTGTTAAACTGTTTGTTGTTTCTAGGATGCGAATTTGTTTATTTGTTGTTTGCAATGAATGTGTAAGTGTATGCGTTTTGACTTAAATACATAAACTAATTCTTCATATGAAAGCTTCTTTGACTACTTTTTTAACATTTTTGCATTTCATAAATTTGCAGACTGGCAGCCTGAAGTGATCTATTTGAGCCATAACGTATGTTTTTCTTTTACTGCGGTTTTAACTCCAGTGTAATCCTTGGTGCTTTTTTTTTTAGGTGGAAATAAAGTTGATGGTATGTGTTCTGCAATGGATTTTTTGTAGATATTAACAAGTTAAAATTATCGTTAGCTGTATGGCCTTCAAACATGGTATGCTGGTTGTTTGAAGCTATTTTGGTAGTTATTGCATCATATTCGGCCCAACTCCAGATTCGACGAGGATGTGAGAGTTTTGATGCTGTTTCAATAAACAGCCAATATACCAGTAAAAACATAATGTGATTGACCTGCTTTTCTAAACCCTAGTGGGTCATCTTCTGAGACTTTTATAAATCATCGATCACCACTAATAATCAAGTCAAGTGTTGATGATGGTTCAATGAGATATGAATGACGGTATGTTGGAAACGTTATCTATTAAACTATTATCCTCTAAATAAGATTGTAACCTCAAATCTCAGAGGCATTCATATATCACATGTTCAAAGGTTGCAACTTTACCATTTATTTCAATAGGCTCATCATCATGTGTGGCTTAGATTAAATCATTATACAATAACATTGAGGAGCAGTTATTAGTTAACTCCTCAATGTTATTAGTTAACTCCTCAATGTTATTAGTTAACTCCTCAATGTTATTAGTTAACTCCTCAATGTTATTAGTTAACTCCTCAATATTATTAGTTAACTCCTCAATGTTATTAGTTAACTCCTCAATGTTATTAGTTAACTGCTCCTCAATGTTATTTTATGATATTTACATAGGTAAGTACATTAGTTAATGTACTTACCTATGTAAACTTTAATGTAATTTCAAAATAACTTTTTAATATACTTACCTATGTAAATTTTAATGTAATTTCCAAGATAAATTTTGATGCACTTTCATAAATAAATTTCAATCTACTTTCCTAAGAAAATTTCAATGTACTTTACTAAGAATTTTTTATTTATTTTTTAGCTTGAAATGCGCCAAAAACAATTTCTTGTTCTTATATATTCCATTCAGCTTCTTCAAGAAGTTCTTCAAGGTATCAATTTTCTTTGTTTTTTTTAAACATTTTGTTTGTTTTAGTTTAAATATAAGCGATAACTATTGATAGTGTTTAAGTTTACTGTTAACTAAATCCTGTTAACTGTAATATGATCAACAAAAGTGTTTCAGAAGCCTTTAATATTAAATACACATTTATCAACAGAAGTTCTTTTAATATAAAAAAGGATAGTAGTGCATCAAACATTTTTATCTTAGTAAATAAAAAAAAACAAAATCAAGTTTCAAATAAAGACTGTTAGCAAATATTTTTATGTATTTAAATATATGTTTCTCTTATATTTGGCAATATAATAGACAACACAAATTTGTTGATCATACTTGACTCATATTTTACAATATTTTATGATGTTCTTAAATGAAGCAGAAATATATGGAAATAAAATTGTCAAGTGATTTTCTGTACTGGGGTGGGTACAGTATTTGGTGTTTGAGATAATTAACGCTTAAACATGTGAATACACAAACGTTATTTTGAAATGGTGCAAATAAACATAAAGCGAAACATCTTATCACACCTCTAAAAATTAACTGATTCTTTTTTGTTGTATTTTCTATTTCAATTGAAAGAGTATAGAGATATATTTCTAGGATTATTTTTCACGTTCACAATATATTGTTGTATTTAATATTTATTTTAATCACGTCTCCAAATTTTTTTAAAATATAGAGTAAGAATGCTTTGTAAAAATTTGCGATGATTGGAGCCTGGGGTCAAAAACCCCTGAAATTTTCGAATTTAATCAGTAGAACGACTGAAAAGAAAGATTTAATTATTACTTCACATTTATTTCGTATATATGTTTTTTGAAGGCTGCATATAAAAAATGATATTTTGGTTGTATTTTTTTGAGAATATATAATAGTGATAAATAATAAGTAATAATATAAAAATGATATTTGTAAACGAATCAAATCCTTTTTAACGAGATTTTTTAATTTAGCGTCAAATTGAAACATTTCTTACTATTAGCTTTATTTTTAGAAGACCACGATGTAACAAACGAAAACAAACCACCGACTATTGAAGTGATGGATCTAACATAGTGTTTGAAAACCTTTGACATTATCACTTGGAATATTTTTAAAAATATTCGAATTTACTGGTTTTTGATGGAACGCTTTAGTTCGTTAATTAATTTTTTTGAATTTTTTATTGCTACACTAGAGCTATAACTTTGTGAGCATGAACGTATAATTTTTATACAGCTATACACAATAGGGCTAGATCAAGTTTTGAAAACACTGAATGAAATTAACAAAAAACAACCTGTTTTATTTGGAATTTTACGCATCTACTTGAAAATATATAAAAAGCAAATATGAGATTTTTATTTAATAAAAAGTGATATTCAACTCAAGAGTTATTAAATTTACTATCCTTTACCTATTTTTTGCCTCATAATGTCCGCCCCACTTGCATAATGTCCACCCTATTTGTATAATGTCCACCCTACTTGTATAATGTCCACTCTACTTGTATAATGTCCATCCTACTCGTATTATGTCCGCCCTATCATGGCCTACTTAAATTACATGGCCTGATTTGTTGCATTTTCCGTAAAAAATTAAGAGGCTAGTTTTTTTACGGCTCAAGTATAAAAACTTAATTTTCGCTATGCTTATGAGTCTTATTTGCACTATAATTTGTTTATTCTTATTTTATTAAAATGTTTAATAATAGTTAGATTTTATTTCAATAATTACAATATTTTGTGCTGGTTTTTTTGTTAACTGATCGCCTCTTTCAGTTTATTCTAATAACACAGAAATTCTAATAACTCAGAATTACATTAATTTATTCTAATAACACAGAAATTCTAATAACACAGAATACTGAAATAGGCTTTCAGATAGCTATATCAACATATACCAACATGCTACTAAAAATAACCTTACATGTTCCTAAGATTGCCTAAAACTCTTCATTGAAAAAAAAAAAATCAAAGGTTTGTAGTTTTGTATTTTTTATAATTAAAATTAAAAGAAGAAATATCTTTTTACTAGGAATATTTATTTTGTCTTTACCTTTTTTGTAATTTTTTTACTTGATCTTTGCTCAATGAATATGTAACTTATTTTTGCAAATTGTTATAAAAATATCATTAACAATACGAGATCTATATTTGATTCCCCACTTTTGGTGCTTTTCATTCGTAAAATTGTCATTGCTACAACAAATCTATAAAATTTGTTTTGCAAATTTTTAATTGAAAAAGAATGACTGCAATTTTTTATTTGAATAAGAGAAATAACATAAAATACTAAACAGAAGACAAATAAAGTTAGATAGGTTGAATTGGATATATAGGTTCTTCTCTGTATAAAGTAACATTAATCATAAATTTAACATCAAAATCTTTTTGTTAATTTTTACCATTATTCCTTGCTTTAGTATATAAATCTGTGCTATTTTTAAAAAGCTGACACTAGTAATTATGTAGACAACTAAGCTAAATCTTGCATAATATTTTTTAATGATTATCAAAATTCTGATTAAATATTTTTTGGGAAAATCCGCAAAAATCTTTTTACTAATGCATGTTTCTAATCATACTTTCTCTATTGGGTTTGTTATCACCTTTTAAAGCAGCATTGCTGAGTTTGATTGGATAAATTAAGTTTCTGCTTTGAATTAAGTATGATAAATAACTTATAAAATAATGATTAATAGTGTGTTGCATTATTTCTTTCAGGAAAATAACTCTAAATTACAACTGCAGTTGTTTCGTCAAATATTATCAATGTTGACAACTTGTTTGTTGTTTCCAAAATATGTGACTTGATAATTAATTTTACTTGCCTGTTTAATAATTAATCTTTTAATAAACTTTAAGAAATATATTCCCTGCAATGTAACTAGCAGTAACTTTACATAGTCTCTGGAATAATCAAATGAAAAAGAATAATTTTTTTTTTTGCGTTTAATAAGCTTTTTCTTACATTTTTTATAAAACGAAGTATATCAAATAATAAGTATATTTTATACACTCCTTTTTTAAACTGAATGATAAATTAATAGTTTTCCATCGCCAATATATGCTTTATGAAACTATAAAAATGCATTAACATTGGTAAAATGGTTATCTGTCACAACAGCCCTTATCTTAAATTCAGATTGATGCATTGAGGTAATACACTCATCAATTTCTTTTTTCAAACATAAACTTGTTATGTAAACTTTTGGTGAGGATTCTAAAATAAAAACAAAAACAACTTTATAAAGATTATTTTCTCAATCTTCATCAAATTGTTTACAACTTTAATATTGAGCTGCTTTTTGGAAGTACATCTTAACCACAAGAAGCAGATAATCACTAAACAACAAATTTTTGTCAATAATATTTCTAATATAATATAGTTTTTTAATTTGTAATTTTTACCGCTGCGAAACCATTTTAATAAAGAATTATGAAAATATGAAATATGATAAACATTTATTAAGCAATGAAAAATTTAGAATTATTATTTATTAACATATATTGACTCCAAAACAGTTGGTATGCCTGATATTTCTTGGCCTGTTTTGTTGCATTTTAATTGCTGTATGTATGAAACATGAGTAATTACATTTCAAAACATTGTTTTGCAGTGTAAATATTTCAAAGAAAAATCGTTTTTTTATATCTAATAACTGCAATAAATACAATAAATACAAAAATACAAATCTTTAAAATTATTTCCAATGGAGAGTTGTGGGTAGTTTTAGCAACATGTAAGGTTATTTTTAGTAGCATGTTGGTATGTGTTGATATAGCTATCCGAAAGCCTATTTCAGTATTTTGTGTAATTGGAATAAACTAAAGCAGGCAATCAGTTAACAAAATGTCCAGCACAAAAAAATGTAATTATTTAAATAAAATCTAACTATAATTAAACCATTTTAATAAAATAAGAATAAACTAATTATAGTGCAAACAAGACTCATAACCATAGCGAAAACTAAGTTTTTATACTTGAGCCGTAAAAAAACTGGCCTCTTAATTTTTTACGGAAAATGCAACAAATCAGGCCGTGTAATTTAAGTAGACCATGGCCCTATTTGTATAATGTTCACTCTACTTGTATAATGTCCACCCTACTTGTTTAATGTCTGCCCTATTTGTATAGTTAATAAGTCATAAACATTAATTGACAATATATTTAACTTTGCAATATCTTTATACCCTTGAAAATATATTTACTAGTTTAATAACTTTTGTCTTTGTTTAACCATTCTTATTTGAAATAAGCCTTTTAAAGCCGTTGTTTAAAAATACGTTGTACAACTTATTTTTTAAACAACAGCAACTTTAAATTGTCATTTTATCAGTAGGTACATCAGGAAACTCCCTGATGAACCTACTGATTGAGAAAAAAACTACATTAGTGTTGTTACTAATTTATATATATATATATATATATATATATATATATATATATATATATATATATATATATATATATATATATATATATATATATATATATATATATATATAAATTATAACACCCCCAGATCTTACATTGCCTCCACGATGCTTCACGGTCTTATGGCAGCAGCGTAAATCGAAGCGTTTTCCGGCCGGTCGACGTACACGGCAAATGCCATCATTCCCAATGATGTTGAACTTCGATTCATCACTGACAGGACAGTTCGCCATTTCTGCACATTCCAGTCAATATGAGATGTAGCAAACAGGAGTCTTTCTTCTGGTTCTTAAGTGAAATCAGCGTTTTCTTTGCAGGGCGTCGAGAAAACAATCCGTCTTCAACAGCACGTCGTCTGATTGTTCAGTCTCATACAGGCAGCTCTAATTGCTTTTGTATCTCAACTGATGATATCCAGGGACCCTTCTTGATGGATATGACGATCATAAAATTCTCTCTAGAATTGTTGGAACGCGGTATTCGACCTTTGTTATCTGCTGCCAACTTTCCCGTTGAACAATATTGGGAATATAGTCTTGATACGGTCCATTTTTTCACGCGATATTTATCACAAATACTTTTTTGAGACTTTCCACTTACGTATTCGCCAATAATTTTTTTTCTTAATTCCAATCCAAGAGGATTGTTGGGAGCCATTTTTGCATTTGAAGTCACAAAAATAATAAAAGTAATCACGCTTCTCAAGGCTTACTATGTTACATTTACCTTGTGATGATACAATAATGCTCTGTGGAGCACAACGTCTTGGTTGGATGTGGACTGTATTGATGTAATGAAACACTTGTTGTATTTTACTTCGTGTATCGATGTTTTTCAATAAAACACTTTGATAAAACTCACTCCGATAAACTGTCTTGATAATACTGACTGATTGACTTCCATATACTGACTGAATTACATGTCGGTTTACATGTCTATTATATAGTAAAATGAATCTGTGTTAATCTGTTCTGGAAGATTCTAGATGCTTCTTTTCAATGCTTCTGTAAGCTTCTGGATGCGTCTGGATGCTTCTGAATGTTTCTTGATACTTCTAGATGCTTTCAGATGCTTCTTCTGGAAACCTATGGAAGCTTCTGCATGCTTCTGGAACTTCTGGATGCTTCCTTTAATTATTAAAAAACTTCCGTGACGTTGACACGGACCAGACTTAAAAAAATGAAACAAACCAAAAAAGTAACACTTGTTTTGTCCGCTGCAAAATGGCGCTTGTCAACGAAATTCTGCCTTTGTTCTGTCACCTGTCAGCTGATTGCTCATGTCTTGGCATGCTATGACTCCAGATTCATGACTACAATTGAAAATTTTCCGGAATTTTTCAACTCGGGAAAATTTCCGGAAAGTATAAAAAAAAGATAAGTTATTTTATAATTAATGTAGCCAATTCACACGATTTAAATATAATCATTATCGCTGGCTATAATTAACACCAAAGTACGCGGATAATAAAAACATTTTCAGAATGAGTTCGTTTTTTAAATTAGGATAATTGGTTCTCAAGTTATGTCAATTTTATGTTAAGCTCTATAACGTGTACTTTGCGTCAAGATTTGTTGAGTGTTCCTTAAGGATTTATGGCACCAAATTTTGAAAATAAATTTATTTTTCAAATGCCATCAATAAAAAAGAGTTTTATTGCAGTTCTTATGCTAAATTATTTTTATTGTTTTCTTTTTTACTAAAGAATCAAAGCGTTCGATTCTACAAA